CTCTCTCTCTCTCTCTCTCTCTCTCTCTCTCTCTCTCTCTCTCTCTCTCTTTCTCTCTCTCTTGTTGAAGATACAAAAGAATATATAAAATACAATTCAAATAATTCTGAAAGACAGCATAATTCAATTTTGTTTTATTTCTTCGAGATTATAATTTTTGTAAATTCTAAATCTTTATTACTGAGCGCTTCTTTTTAATAAATCGGATAATATGAAAAATGAAATAATCATATTATAAATGTCAATGTCATAATTAGATCTTTCGTTCTTGAAAGGAATGTTGCTTTAACGAATAATTAAATATTCAAATCCGAAACGAATAATTAAATATTAACAAACATGTTTACGTGTTTTATTTTTAATGTAAGAAATATCTTTAGAATTAGATGTGCAAATGTTCTAATTTAAAAAATTAATTAGTTTTATATTATCTTTTTAATAAAAAAAATAATTAAAAAAAGTTAAAATGACAAAGTCAATTACTTACAAGCATTTAAAAGAAATGTACACAACATAAAATATTTCTTTTTCATAAACCTCGTTAATTGATTCTTACATAGCTTTTTTAATTAAAATAATTAAAATAACTATTGTATCCATTTTTCTGTTTCAAATAAATAAAAATTGATATTAAATGCTGTATTGAGAATATATTGTATCATTGAATATTTCTTTTAGAAATTTAGATATTAAGACAAAAATTATGGAATTTTTAAAATTCTTATTGAGCATTGGCCTAATGTTGACCATAGCCACGGCTGTTGATATTAAGGATAATTTAAAAAATATCTCGAATGAAACGATTGAGATTCGTTTATTTAAGGAAGTAACACCAATGCATTATAAAATCAGACTGGTACCGTACTTTGAAGAAGACAACTCTCTTTTTAAGGGTAGCTTAAGTGTCAATATCAAAATTCATTACGGCACATCAAACATAAGCTTACATTCGAATAAGCTGATAATAAATACAACTGCGACGACATTGCTTAGTAACAATAATACAACCTATAAACCAAATCAACATATTTATCATAATAAAATAGACATTTTGACACTCACTTTTGATCATGTATTGTCGTCCGGTCTTTACATTTTAAACATGAAATTCAAGGGTGATCTATCTGCTAATAAGACACACGGTTTTATCAAAAGATCATATATAAACACAGAAGGAAAAAAGACGTAAGTAAATATTAACAATATATTTACGATACAAATGCTATTTGCTATTATTTTCTAGCTTGTTACTTTTATCATTATTATTTTATGCTAAGGACTTCCAACATATAATGTAAAATTCAAAACATTTAAAACATTATTTAAACGTATACTTTTGCAAACGTATACTTTAAAATATTCTTCAGTATATTTAATTAAAATTTAAATAATAAGAAATAAATATTTCTTCAATATATTTAATTAAAATATAAAATGTAAAACAATACATGCAATATGTATATAATATGTAATAATATTTATGAAGAACCTCTTTTTAAACTATCGCGACATGATATAGCGTTTCTGTTTTTATTCTTAATGCAAAAATTATTACTGGAATTTAAGATATAATAATAAACATTAATTTAATGTTTTGTAAACTCTTATTTATCCGATATTTGTAAATTTATGTAAGACACTCTATCAAAATGTAGGTGGTTGGCATTCACATATTTACAAATAATTGGAGCAAGACAACTGTTTCCGTGTTGGGATGAACCTGCGTTAAAAGCCACCTTCGACATCTCCGTAAAGCATAAAAAAAAATTCACGGCTTTGTCGAATATGCCGATACGAAACACAGACAAGGCCGAAGATGACATGATATGGACACATTTCGACACCACCCCAATAATGTCTACTTATCTCGTGGCGATTATAGTGTCTGATTTCGCTCACATTTCCGACGGGACCACCAATATATGGTGTAAATCATCTTTGACATCGCAAGTAAACTACGCGCTAAATGTTATCAAAATGGTGGAGAAGTTTGGGATCCAATATACTAATATTTCTAGACAAGTACCAAAAATAGATCACGTCGCCATACCGAATTTCCCAGCCTCCGCCATGGAAAATTGGGGACTCATCTTTTACAAGTAATATATACAATTAAACAGTAATATATTAAAGTATCAAAGTTGATGCTAATCTTAGTACATAAAATTAAAAAAGATAGTTAATTTTTAATATTATTAAAAAATTTTAATTTTAAACTTTAAATATTAATTAATCACAGACATCCAAGATATGCATGTCTGTCACGTTTAAATGCTTGTAACAGAAACTTTTGATATAATTCTGTTTTATATCACATTATATTTTTGTTTTTCAGTGAAACATATCTCGTATATGATCATAACACACATCCTCTATCTCACAAAAAACAAGTAGCGATGATAATAGCACATGAAATTGTACATCATTGGTTTGGAAATTTGGTCACTTCATCTTCCTGGTCTGAATTATGGTTATACGAAGGAATTACTGAGTTCATCTCCTCGTACTTTCTGGATAAGGTTACTTATTACTAATGCCAAGTTACATAATTAATAGTATATATTGTAATAAAAAGAATTTCTCATTTTTGAAGTACAAAAAAAAATATCGCACAATTAAAATAATAATAATTAGATTCTTCGAAATTTTTATAAAATATGTATACAGAACTGAGAAAAATGGCACATATTTTAATTTAAAATAATAAATAAAACTATAATATGTTTAATATTAAGTAATTTTCAATATTTTTAATAATAATTAACAGATAATTATATTCTTCTTGTTAAAATTTGAACATAGAAAAGTTAATAGGGCTTAGATGTTACAATAAAATTCAAATATTCAAATAATGAAGTTTTTTGAAAGCGGCAAACAAACTAGTTTATATTTCTAATGAATTTAATATTTAATTACATTCAAAAACTTTTTGATCTGTCTTTAGATTTTTGACGAGAGTCGGATAATGGATGAATTTGTAGTCAATAAATTGCATATGTCTTTCACAATGTGCGAAAGCTTCATAACAAATCCCAAAGTGATAAATAACGATTTGTCTGATTATATTTCGTTCCATTATTTTGAACTATATCTTCAAGGTATTAAATTAAATTAAATTTTTGTTCTATAACGTCTGTAATGTATATTTATTAATGCAGATTGTACTATGTCTAGCGACATATTTGTACGGATTGATCGTACAGATATGCGCTCACTTTTAATTATTAATTTGTTGTTAAATTTTACGAAAAGAAACTTTTCTGCTTAGTTTAATCTGCTATATCTAAACATAAGCAATGTACTATTAATTATCAAATACGTATTATAATTTTATTTATATAATTTATTTAAATTTATTATTAATCTTAATATTTTACATTGCGTATTATTATTATTATAGCACCTATTATAATGCGCATGTTACAACATATAATTACCGAAGAAGTGTATCATAAGGCTCTCGTCACATATTTGACCATGTAGTAAGTAATGTATTTTAATAACTATTTAATTATTGCGTATAGTATAATGTAAATATGTTAAATCTAAATATGATTATATCCCCTTGTTTTATTGTTAGAAAATATAAATGGATACTGTTGGAAAAAATATTATATCAAGAACATAATTATTTATACACAGTATCACATTGCTATTCAAAGATATGTTTATTATATTATAAAATATTTCTTATTATATTTTTATATATAATTTATATTAATAATTTATATTTTTTATTATAATTTAGTTAAATTGATCTAAAGTAATCTAACTCGTGTTTTTATATATAACATCAAAGTATGCATATATTAATTCATTAGTTAAACAGTAAATTTACATTCTCTATTACTGTGCTATTAACAATGTTAATATTACAAATCTAGTAAGTTTAGTTCAGCGACGTCCAACGACTTGTGGAGCATCATGCAAACTATTTTAGATCAATCAAATGTTCCACATGAAAATTATAAAATAAAAGAAGTAATGGATACGTGGACAAATCAAAATTGTTATCCTTTCGTAAGCGTAACAAGAAATTATAAAACTGGGCTAGTTAAAAATAATGCTACATGATCATGATGCATATCACATGATAATGAATGATAATAAATGGCGGATACCTATAACTTATGTTACTGAAACAAATCGAGATTTTTCCAATACTTCAACCATTATGTGGCTAGAACCACAAGACGACTCTATAAGCTTTAAAATTAATCCAAATGATTGGATAATTCTCAATGTACAACAAGCCGGTAAATATCGATTCATGATTTTCTTGTATATATATTTATTTTAAATTCTTTATGAAAAATTTTTTTATTCATCTTTATACGTATTGTTGTTTATAAAAATTTAAAGGAAATATATATAAAAAATAATAAATAAAATGAATAAATAAAATAGTAATAAAGTAAAAAGACAGTAGGAATAAAAATAATAGTAAGTGATAAAACTTTTGAAATTTTTTTAAACTTCTTGTTAAATTAAAATAATTTTTAATTTATATCTTACATACTTTTTTATTGTTTGTAAATTTTAGTTTTTAGTCTACGATATATTTGCATGAGTAAAATATTGACAATTAAAAATTGTCTAAATTTAATAAAAAATATCTAACAATAAAATATTTAATAACATAAGTGATATTGCGACAGGATACTATCGTGTTATGTATGATAATATAAATTGGAAAAAATTATAAATTATTTAAATTCTGACGACTTTACGCAAATACACGTTCTCAATCGTGCTCAGATCATTAGTGACGTATATTACTTTACAATGAAAGGCTTACTTAATGTGACTTTCTTGATAAATGTAACATACTATCTATCGCAAGAAATAGATCATATACCATGGAATCCAGTATTTAAAATATTAGAACAACATGAAACGTTCTTGTTAATGCCAGAAAGCTTATATTTTAAAGTAAGTAATAAGAAATTTCATAAAGATAAATAACTGTGTTTATGATTACAATTGATTAATCTGTTCTGTTCTATCTCACTACATTCAGTATTTATTTTTTTATTTCATTTAATTATTACTAAATAAAAAAATATACATATCATATGTATATATATGTATACATACAAATATACATATCATATATAAATTTTTTTGCGCATTTACTTGCATAAAAGATTGTTAATTTTAAAGTAAAAGAATTTATAGTGACGTTGTCCAAATGTTAAATATATAAAACATTTTTCTATCTTAATATCAGATTTGTTAAAAAATCTCGATAAAAATATGATCTATTAAAATGAAAACAGATTAAAACAAGATGGAATTTTGTTATTATTTAATTTTAAAGTTGCAATATAATACGGATATCTCAATTTTTTTATTCGATTTGTGCAGTCTAAAATTTACAATCTTTATAAAGTGAAAATTATGGTATAAAAAGTTAATGTTTTTTTAGTTACATATGGCAGAAATATTCAATGGACTTCTTAAAAGCCTAACCTATGAAGAAAATTCTGATGATGACGATATCACAAAAATATTAAGGCTTAATGCAGTTAAATGGGCATGTATGCTTGATAACTTAGATTGTAAGAAAACGGCCACTGCTAAATTACACAACCATCTTGCGGATCCCGATACTTACAAGTAACTTTTTTAAGAATTACATTTGTATGAAAATTGCAGCTATGTAAATAGATATATATGAACGTATAGAATGAATATGCTGTTGAGTATAAAAGCAGATATACGTAATGACAAATTACCTATATAATAATAATAATAATAATAATAATAATAATAATAATAATAATAATAATAATAATAATAATAATAATAATAATAATAATAATAATAATAATAATAATAATAATAATAATAATAATAATAATAATAATAATAATAATAATAATAAATAATAATAATAATAAATAATAATAATAATAATAATAAATAAATTACTTTGTTTAACCTTGTTTATAAATTTTCTTTCTTTGACGCTATGTCATAATTATACAAACAGGTGACATAAGAGTCGAAGAACAGCATAAAAATAGCAAGAATCTTAATTTCTAAAATAATGCTTACTTAACGAAACAAAAAAAAATAAGAAATTGATAAATAGAAATTGGCTATTTTATAAATGCTAAATTTGTATGATATACTTTTTCTTAAGTATATACATATATATATATATATATATATATATATTTTAGAATTTCGCCGTGGTGGGAAGAATGGATATATTGTTTTGGTTTGAAAAAAGCTAATCAGAATACTTGGAATAAAGTGTTCGAATTGTATCAACATAATCGCAAGCAAATATTTTTAAATTATTTAGCTTGTTCTGAAAAACCTGAGATTATCAACAACTATTTAAATATAATAGCATCAAACACTTCATTATTTGACAATGCACTGCATTATTCTGTGTTTAAGACTATCCTTAAGTGGCATGTAACTAACAATTTGGTTTTTGAATACATTTTAACAAATTTAGAGACTATAAAACCCAGGTAAAGTTTTTTTAATTATATGAGTTAGCTACACTAATCACGCTATACTAATTACGAATATATTTTTTTTATAGATCAATTCCAATGCTCACAATAATAGAAGATATTATTAGTAATAATAGAAATATTAGTAATATTAGAAACTTTTTCGGTATGAAACAAATTTATAAGGTAAATTTTACGATTCTAAACTTACATTGATTGACTATTTATTAAAAACTTTTTAGTTTTGTGACACATTTCAAATGAAAATCATTAATCTGCAAAATATTAGTAGTAGATCGATTGCCGAAATAAAATTAGAACTAATTATTAGCATTTTAAGTGCTTTATACACTTATATTTTTATAATCAATTTTAATCTTCCCAAAACAAAAAACAATTTAAAGCATCTAAACAATTAATAGTTAATTATATTTCTATTAGATTGTATTTTTAACTTTTACATTTTAAAATTCAATAAAAGTTAATTCGTGCTCATTAAAAAAATAAGTAAAATTTTTATAACTTAGAATATTAATATTAGAACAGTGATCTACTTGAAATAGAACAATTGAAATAGAAATTTAAAAAATAAATTAAGTTTTCAATTCTGAATTTTAACATAAAGAAAACATATTTTTTCTAATTAATATTCGAAGGCATTTTCTGTGAATAAATATACTTCTATAAATAAAAGATAGAATTTTCTTAAAACAAGTATACATTTTCTCAGCTAAAGTACTAAATACATTTTTTATTCATATTTTACTGATCATTGTTAAGTAAAAATAAAATATTTTATTTTATTAGGTAGTTGCATAAAAACATATTATGTTTACTGGAGTTAAACATATCAAACTAATTTGTTTCAGATAAAACAATTTGTAAACATGAATTTTAAAAACAATGTAATGAAGTTAATTGAAAAGCAAATAAGATGGTATAGAAATATGAGGAAAACCATAGCACCTCTGATGAGCCTTTATCAAAAATGAAAATTAAATTCAAGTTGCTAACTGATGAAATTAGTTAAAAATATCAAATATAAATATAACACATTTATTTATCATAAAGTTTTTAAATTTTTTATTTCTTTATAACAATTTCTTAAATAATTTTTTATTTAGTTTATTATTTTTAATATATCTCAATTTTTATAATATTTACCATTTTATTAATAATTGTGAAATTATTAATAAAACAAAAAGATTATAAAATTGTATAATTTTATAATTATAATATTTTATAACATATTAATTTTCTACAATTAATAAATAACTATATTAATAAATTACTGTATAAATAAGTGTATACCAATACTTTCATTACACGAGCAAATCCCTTTTCTAGCACTTTTTCTAGTCATTGATTAAGACTGCAAGAACAAAATATAAATTTCCAAATGATTAGATCAATTATGATTACACAAATTAATAGAGAATTACAAGTTATTTAAATTCTGAAGAATATACGAAAACATATTTATTTCTCAATCACGTATTCAAATTATTAGTGAATATATATGTTTTTGACAGCATATCAACTCTCGATGTCTGCACATTCTTCGATATTATAAACTATTTCTCGCGTGAAAAAAAATTACGCAACATAATATTTCATATTTGAAATTTTCAACATATTCTGTGATGTCAGATAGTGAAAGTTTTTATAGTGAATCATAGTAAAATTTATGGTGATAAAAAAATTATTATTATACGTATTTCATATAATCATATTTTTACGTCTTATGTATTATTATGTCTATATGGTATTATAGTTGACTCTTTAATTTGTTTAGTCTCATATCATTATATTTTTGATTTTATTAATTACTTATTACCTCGTAACATCTATATAATAGAATTATTATTTATGTGATATTTATTATAACACCGGATGTTGATATTGTTGTCACTATTCGATGATCTTTTCAGATGATCTTATTGCAATGAACAATAAATTTATATACTAATATATGTAAATTGCAACTTTACAAAACAATGCATGATGCAAACATTAATATAGAATTCTATCTCACGTTCTTACATGAGCCATAAAAATGATTTTCAAAAAAATATTGAAGCATGCGAAAGATAAAATACATTAGGACAAATAAAAATTCTAGTTTTAGATATTATTGAAACATTAACATATTCATAGATGTATGAGATATAAAGACGTATGAGTTATAAAGTATTGATAAAGCATTGATCTTTATCTTAAATTAATATCAAGCATTAATTATAAAGTTTAACATAGTTTAACGTAGTATGTTAATGTATAGAAATGAATATTATAATACTGTATTTTCATTGTTATTAAATTTAATAATTACTTAAAAATAAGATATATATTATTTATATCTTCGTCAGTGTTATATTAATATTAATTTGTTATATTAATATTAATATTCTTATAAATATATAAATTCTTTGAAGTACTTTATTGAGATACATTGAAACTTTTGTCAAAGCTAAAGCGTCCTCTATATTGACACAAACATATTTATATGGTAAACACCGTATTTATTATATATCGAATGTCGACATTGTTGCCAGTACTCGATGATCTTTTAAAGTGAAAAGACGACAATCAGATTGACATCTGCAAAATTAATTACTGAAGACAACGCAATATCAAAACTAAATAGCAACTAAAAGAAATATATTTTAATCGAAACATAACAGGCAGAGTAAGTTGAAAACAGAATACTTAAACATATTTCGTAAAAAAATAAGAAAAATATGTGACATATAATTAAAATAATTAAAAAAAAACAAATCAGATAAGGTACAAAGTCAAACCTTCGTCTTGTATAAGAATAGGAAATGTTTCACATTATTATTTCTTTGAGATTCTTTTCCATAGATCATAAACTTTCATTTTATTAAACTTTTTCTATAAATAAATATATTTCTATCTTTTATATATATCAACTGAATTGAAATGATTAATAAATCTAGATTTTTTGATTTCTAAAATTTCATTGATTTAATAAATAATTAAGTATTTCAAATTCTAAATAACAACAAGGTATGTTTTTACTTCTAATAAATTCTATAAAACAAAACATACAATAAGAATTAACTTTTAAAATATAAGATTATTTATTTTGGAAATTAAATTAATTTCATATTTTGATTTGTTGTGCAAATATTAAAAAAATTTACGTAATAATGTTAATAATAAAGAGATTAAAGATATGTAAGTATTAAATATACAAAAAATATTCATACTGCTCTTTAAATAATACATACATGTATGTTCTTAATAAAGTTGATGAAATTATTTATTTTATTTTTATATTTTTATATAAAAAATTTTTATATAAAAAATATATTATATTTGTTTGTTGTAATTGTTAAATTTGTTTGTTGGGCTAAATTACATTAATTACTTCTTTCTTTTAGACACAAAATATAGATACTTAAAACGGAAATTGCTATGGAATTTCTAAAGTTATTACTAAGTATCGGCCTAATATTGGCCACACTAACTAGTGCTATTATTTATAATGATTTAGAAAGCAACTTGAATGAAAAAATTGCTTATCGTTTACCCGATAACATAATACCAATACATTATGATATCAATCTGACAACGTATATCGAGAAAGATAATTTTACTTTTTGCGGTGAAACTAGTGTCAACATCAGAATTCGTTCTGCAACATTAAATATAAGTTTACATATGCATGATTAGAAATAAACAAAACGGCGACAATATTGATCAGAAATGATGACATAAACTATAAA